AGAAAAAATTTGAACAACTAATAAACAAATAAAGAAACGTAGGATTATTTCGAAATTAGAATAGTAATTTATTTATCGTAACCGAAATATTTCAGAAACCAGATATTATTTCCAAGTTCGTTTTTCATTTTATTTCTCCGACTATATATATGTTTAAAGTTCGGCTTGGATATTATCAGAATAAAATATTAAAAATTATAAAATATTATTAGTATCTTATTTGATTAAATATTATTTCAGAATAATAATTTTGCCAATTCGAGGACTGATATTTAAGCAAACATTTATTTCAATTATCTCTTTCTTTTTACATTATATTTATTTTCTATATTTTACTTTTAAATTTCTTATAATTCTTATGTTTCAATATCTTAGAACAAACGACTCTCTAACGGACCTAAAAGCTTTTAATATTACAATCAATCAATAAAATAAAATATTACAATCAACCAAAATATTACATTATTTTCAATCAAATTATCATCAACATGTTTTCCATCCAAATTCTATAATTTCATGATTACATAAAAATTGTGCAATTCTATAATTATACAATTAATTTAAAAAATTGAAAAATCTATAATGTTCGGATAAATTATTTGTTAATTGCTTAAATTGCTCAATTCTTTCCCTAATCGGATTCGGGTTTTACATCGAGTTTTATCCAGTTATATATCAATTTCTATGCAGTGTTTCGTGAAAATGTCTTAACAGCTGGTATCAATTTTTCCACAAAGAGTATTTAAAATAATAAATTTATTAATGATGTAGCGTATTACGGCGGACGAAATGAATTCGCAGCATTCAAGAGAAAACATGAAATTGGTTAATATTATTTTGCAACGGACAAATGTCGAATCGGCAGTATTCCACGTGGCCAAAAAAATTCAGTAAAATAACATAACTGTTACACATTTATAATGAAATATTTTTATAGTAGAATCTGTATACTTACATTTCAATCAATTTTTATCTTATAAGATAAATCAAATTTGGCAAAATTGATTTTTTTTATTTGGTTTTGTACAATGTATTATTATTTTATTACATATTATAAATTAATAATATATTATATATTAAAATAAATAATATAAATAATATATAATGAAGTATAATAAAATAAATAATATATTATATATTATAAATATCTTATAAATAAATGTTTACGTAACATAATATCAATATTTAATAACATTATTATCTCTATTTTTATCAAAAAATTATAAATTAAAAATAATTTAAATTTTATACTAAAAATGCTATATATTAATGGAATTAAATATTGAATATTATATCAATAATATTAACAATATTATATTTTGATAACAACTGTATAATGGTGGTATAAATAAATAACGATAGCATAAATAATAATGATAGTATAAATAAATGCAGTATAATAAAATTTACTATAATAAAAATAATATAAATAAATTTGTATTACAATAATGTACACAATGTTTTGCGTTTGTAAATGTTTAATTGCGACATAAATTCTAAAAATATTCGAAAAGAAAAATTTTAGATAAATTCTAAATAATTTAAATTCACTACTAAAAACGTAAAATTCAATATACATTTAAATATATTAAAATACATAAAAAATATAAAATATAATATTGAAAATATATAAATGTAAAATTTAGCATTATTGTTACATCCTGGCTTCGTTGGACGACGGTGCAAGGTTAGCGACCGCTATAATCCTTTTGCCCAATCAGCGCGTACGTCCGATTCTGGACGGGATCCGCGGTGAAGTGTACGGGCTGGAGCGTCTTCGAAGTCCAGTTATTGGACGAGATCCATGCACGAAGGTTGTTCTGTTGCGGCGCATTCGCGAAGTTAAGTAGTCGGCTCGACTTATAGGAGAAAATACGCGCGTGTAAATAAGATGATTATATTTCACGTTAGGATTACAATAACAGGGCAGACAATACTTATTAAATAGAAGGTACAAGAATAGAATTTACTGATAATCGTTGCGCGAAAGGATAATGCTAAGCGATTGTTATCGTTTGCGAGTCTTAATC